TATTATAAGGAGTAGGCTAAGACAATTTGTTCCTTTAGAGGACAGAGTATTCCTTCACTGCCCTCCCCCTCACTCCATCTCTGATAGCTTCCTTAACTTCTGACTCCACAAGAATTCAGGAAGCACACACCTTTTCTATAATTTAAAGTGAGTTTATCAAAGTCATCATTTGCCCAGAAACTGAGGAAAGACAAAGTAGAATTGCTTTTAATTATTATCTATTGTCTATTATTGTCTATCTATTATCTATTATCAATACCAAGTATTGTGCTGGGTAACAGCTAATTTTATCTCACTTAAAGATTACAACAATCCTTGAAGTCTACTTCATTTTTATCCTCAACTTACAGTGAGGAAATTGAATGTCAAATATGTGAAGTTATTTGCTTAGGTGATACCAGCCGAATCTGAATATTTTCTGCAAAGCTGTATCGGGAAAACCCGGTTTTCCTCCTGTGTCTTTCTGTCCTATGTGTCTCTTTTAGTTTCACACTACAGCCACACTCACGACACTTCCCTTCAGACACTTTTGGTCACCAAATGTGTGGGGTTTTTCCCCCACGAAGCAATTTTACAACATCAGCTGGGTGTTGTGCAATATAACTCAATTTAGTTCAGTTCTGACACTATTTACCTGGAGACAGTGTCAGATCTGACAGGTTAAGGGCTCAGTCCCACAAACTGCTTCCACTCCACTCCAGATGCCAACTGCAGAAGTAGATTCCCAGGTACCCACAAGTTGTGTCCAATTTGGCTACAAATCGAAGATTCCCCCCCACCCCTTCTTTAGGTTTGATTAGTTTGCTAGAGCAGCCACAGAACTCAGGGAAACACATTTACCAGTTTATTAAAGGATATGATAAAGGATGCAGATGAACAGCCAGATGAAGAGATACATAGGGTGAGGTCTGAAAGGGTCCCAAGTGCAGGAGCTTCTGTCCCTGTGGAATTGGGATGTGTCATCGTCCTGGTGTGGATGTGTTTGCCAACCTGGAAGCTCCTGGAATCCCCTACTGCTGAGACTTTGTGAGGCTTCCTTATGTAGGCATGATGGATCATTAACTCCATTTTCAGCCCTTCTCCCTTCTCAAGAGAATGGGGGGCGAGGCTGAAAATTCCAAGCTTCTAATCATGGCTTGGTCTTTCCAGTGACCAGCCCCTATCTGGGAGCCATCCAGGACCTCCCCCAGAGTCGCCTCAGTAGAACAAAAGACACTCTTGTCACCCAGGAAATTACATGAGTTTCAGGAGCTCTGTGCCAGGAACCCGGGGTAGACACCAATATATATATTTTCTACTATCTCACAAAAGCCCACGTGATTTTCCCATATCTCTCTGGTTTATTTGCCTAGTCTCCTTGCCAGTACTTTCTTGAGTTTCTGAAATAGTAAGCTGGGATTCTGTATTCTGCATTCTTCTTCCAGGCCCTACTCCACAGCCTTCTCTTTTGGCTACATTAACACATCCTGGATGTGACAACATTCTACTACCACTCTGCGCTCTGGCAAGAATTGGAGCAAATTAATGTTCTTCTAATTGAATGGATGGCTTTCTGGGAAATGGTGGCAATTCTATTTAATAGATCTGCGTGAGCTGGGGAAAAAAATACCAAAAAGATGTAATGAAAGACTTTTACCCTGTGAAATGCAAAGAACATCAAGAAAGAATTAGGGGATGAGGCAGTGTTTTCCAAACGTGAGAACAGAATGATCAAGAATCAATAGCATAGAAGGAAGAGACCAACAAGCATATTCCAGTGAAAGAGCAAAGGGAGAAATAATGGAAAGGGACTTTGGTGACCTCATTTAGAGTTCAGTTTTAGCTACTGATTTGGGATCTGGGGGGAAATAACCATACCTGCTTTCATATACTTAAATGAAAAAAAACAAAAACAAAAACTGACATTATTACACTGGTTCCTGTCTGCATATAATACAAATGGTATGAGAATAAATTAGATTGTATAATTGAATTAGAAAAATACCTTATAAATGTTGAGGGGTATCAGGCTTGGGATGAGTAGGTGAGATAAATAGCCTTTAAAATTTATTAGAAACTCAAGATTTCTAAGATTCTTTAGAGTTCCTGTGTGTCCTTATGTGTGTATATGACAAATGGTACCATTGTCTTGTAGGAAATTTACATAATTAATACCCAGAAAGGCTTTATCATTTGGTACACAATAAATGTTTATGTAATTAATAAATACATGAATGAGGAGGAAAACCATCTCAATTCTCTTATTTAACATGAGGATTGGTTGAAAGTCTAACGCAGACATAGCCCAAATTCCTTCTCCAATGAAATGAGGCAATCATCCAGGGTGGAAGATTTATTCTTTGGAGAAATTCAACAGAAGTAGTTCTGACCGTTGGACATGAGGCACAGCGGGTGGCAGGAGTTACACACTGGACTGAACACAGGGAGAACAAGTTAAATTGTGCATTCTAAATGGTGAAATTTCCCAGTCTTCCTCCCACACTCTGATCTCAGGGTGCTGGCAATAGATATATAAATGTAGACTGGAGTTAGTTGGATTTTATTCTAGAAAAATTGAAAAGCATAGGAGAGGGGCCGGCCCAGTGGCACAAGCGGTTGGGTGCATGTGTTCCACTGCGGCGGCCCGGGGTTTGCCGGTTCGGATCCCAGGTGCGCACTGACGCACCGCTTGGCAAGCCATGCTGTGGCAGCGTCCCATACAAAGTGGAGGAAAATGGGCACGGATGTTAGCCCAGGGCCAATCTTCCTCAGCAAAAAAAAAAAACAAAAAGAGGAGGATTGGCAGATGCTAGCACAGGGCTGATCTTCCTCACACACACACACACACACACAAAAGCATAGGAGAATAGATCCACATAAATTAAGATTTCGGGGTAATTCTATGAAAAAGCTGGTCACTTCCCCATTACCCTACAACACAGTCCACAAGCTGACAATCAGAGTTTTCTCGCAGGTTTTTGGTGCTTCCTTCTTCAACATGAAAGCACAGCTATGAATAGCTGGATATTTGACTGCAGTTTCAGGCATTCCAGACAGCACAAACAACAACAAGCAAAGATAATAGAGACAATAGGAGAACTGAAGGCAAATAAAAATCTCAGAAATTTGAAAACTCAAATCAAAGCAAAATGAAACAAAAACAACAAAGATATTGAATTACACTGCCTCCAGCACAACAAAAGAAAGAGAAAAGAATGGTATAAAAAAGAGCAAATAGAGAATAAGTAAGAGCTCACGATAACAAGAATATGACAGCCAATAGAAGGATGAGAAGACAAAGTGAAAAAGTAGAACAACACAGCATGGGAGTCCATGCTCGTGATTCTGAGAACTCCCTAAGGGTTGCGATACAGAAGACGATGTATCTTTTCAAAAATTTCTAGAACATCACTACATTCTGGTATTGAGCTATACAGATCCTCTCTTGAAACAACATTTATTGGGATGTTAGCACCTTTGTCAAAGAGCTGGTACTATCCTAGAGGTCGCCATGTCAGACGACCTGAGAATTACTAACTACAGCTTATTATTCCCTGCCCTGATAATCTAGATAAGTGTTCCAGTTAACATTTTATTTTAGCTGAAACATTTATTAATTTGTTATTGTTTCCTGATTTTTAATAGCTCCTTGAATTATCAGCAGTAGATCACTGTTAAGTAAGCATATTGTACACTGGTAAATAACTTTGTAAATACTAGCTAAATTTTCTTATGCAAATCTCTCAATACATACTGCTTAAGCAATAAAATGGTTTCTTTTGAACACATTAAGCACAGATGAGTATCTGTGTTCCTTTTGGGTGGATTTGTGGTATACATTTAAATGTTCTGTTTCGGTACTTAGTTGAGATTATTTGAATGTATACTCCATTGCCTCTCAGTTTTAGTTGTCACCCAAACATTTTGTTTGATTCCAAACATTTTGTTCAAAAATCTCTAAGAAAGTGCCACATAGTACTCTATGTATTTATTTGCATATCTGTCTCCTAGGAACTCCTCAAGGAAAGAGACATTATTTTACTCCATATTCTCAGTCCCCAGGATGGTATCTTAGTCCACAAAGGCACGCAGTGCATGCGCATACAATGCGCTGATGAATAAAAGTCATCTCTTAGACACTACGGACTCATGGAGCGCACAAACCAAACAGAGGATCCAAGAGTGTTAGGAAGTAACAGTAGAGTTAAGACATCCTGCTTGAGCTACAGATAACAAGCTCTAGGGATTTGTTAATTTTTTATTTAGATCCAACTGAGTAGAGAATGAGAAAGAATTGAAGTCTAAAATGCAGGAGAAATTCTATGATAGATGAAGTGAATCTTAATCATTGGGATGAAGCACAATTATCAGAGGAATTGGGGTTGCAAATCTGATTCTAGTATTCAAAACCTTTTAGGCTTTTAAATTTATCTTAAACAGAATTAGGGGTAAAAAACAAAGTACCTACCTTCTTTTCTTGTATTGGAAGAAATGTCAAACAGACTTTCTCCACACGTGCTACGGTTTCCTGTGCTTTGGACAGTTTGTCAAAATTATCCTTCTTTTTTTTGTGTGTGAGGAGATCAGGCCTGTGCTAACATCTGCCAATCCTCCTCTTTTTGCTGAGGAAGACTGGCCCTGGGCTAACATCTGTGCCCATCTTCCTCCACTTTATATGGGACGCCGCCACAGCATGGCTTGCCAAGCAGTGCATCGGTGTGCGCCTGGGATCAGAACCCGCGAACCCCGGGCCGCCGCAGAGGAGCATGAGCACTTAACCACTTGCGCCACCAGGCCGGCCCCCAAATTATCCTTCTTAATGAAGAATTAGAAACCGGAACGTTACATTATTCTTATTTTCCGTATTCACTGTGTTTCTAAATTTAAATATGGGCCAATACAACTCACCAGTGACTTGAAAAGATAATTTTCATCTTTGGGGTTTTAGACCTCATCAAAAAAGAGCACACCCCCTCACATACACATAAACAAGCAACAACATCAATAACAAAAAACATTACCTTGAGCTATGTAAGGTGTGGTTTCCTCTTTTGGAGGGATATTTGTAGGTCGAGGTGTAGGGGCAGGAGGTCTGTTTATAATGAAAGATCGACTTCCAATTTTTTTCTTTGTACTCATGTGGGCCAATATCATATCATATTCACTGTCATCAATCTCAGCAAAAGTGTATGGATCTTCTTCCTCCTCCTGCTCCTTGTCATCTTCTTTCTTTTCTTCTTCCTCTTTAGGTTCACCTCCTGTTTCCTGTCTTGCACCCGGATCACTTGTTTCCATTTGGCCTTCCAACATTTTCCCTACTTATGAAATATTTAGATGGTGGTTACTCTTCTATTATATGCAATATTATTGACGTCCATCTGTCACTTGCTTGAACCTCCCAAAAAGTAATTTATATGTTATCTTCTAAATTGCAAAAAGAGAAAAGTGAACCATATAATTTACTAACATAACATAACTAACATATAACATACTAACTGCAGTTTGTAATTGTTAAGTTTGTTAAGAAAAAGTTTGACATAGATTTCTTTGAAAACATATAAATAAGCATATAAATATTTTCCACATAGTTTACAAATGATTTAATATCAGGAAAATTGAGTTATAAAACTAAGCCTCAAATTCCAAATGCTTTGAAAACTTGTGTTTTTTAAGCATAATACTCTTAGATTTTTTTCATTTGAAGTCATTTTACCTTTCATAGGGCTTGCACTGAGTATTCTGCCTAAAATTCAGCTTCTCTGAAAATGACAGAGAGGAATAGCCAAAAGCACCATTGCTTGCTTTCTAACAGTAAGGCTCACTCTGGCTATGAAAAATTGAACTTCAAAAATGCAACTCTTGATTTCTACAAGCCAACGTGAACCTCATTCTTAGATAAAGGAGACTGAAAATAGGGTTCATGACATAAAAGATGGCATGGATAATCAGTGGATTGAAGATTAATTCACATGAAAACAATAAATAATCTTTTACGGTTGTCATACTTCGTAAAATCTTTACATATTTTTATAAGAATGTATTAAATATTTTAGTAGCAGTTATTTAGAAGACAAAGATCTCATATACTTTGAGTAACGAATAATGAATAAGTTGAGAACAATTTTGATGGCTCTCTGCCAGGTCAACGAGATTATTTTTTTTTTTAATTTGCCCTTTGACAAATGTTTTGTTTAAAGTATTAACGAAAACAATGAAATGGAAAGGATTTCAGTTATTGACTGAAAAACTGTTGCTTGTCTATATTGTCCTGAGAGATTTATGCACATGAACTAAGGGAGAACTATCCTCTTTTCTTTTTGGTGAGAATTTGACCAAAAAATTTGTTTACTTACAGATATTTTAGTGGAAAAACTTAGGAGCAAAAGAGAAAGAAAAGTTGTAGAGCAGAATAAAAGGATATTATTATAAGAAGGTTCAGCGACTGTTTTGGGTTGGCTTATGAGGAGAGACCAGGATCATCTCCCAAGAGAGTCTTAGGTCTCATTGTTTCAGTTGGTTTAACCCAGGAAGTCTTAATTGCCTACATGCCTAGCACTAACTGTAAAGTGACCACGACTTGCTTTTTCCCTGGCGAATAACATGGTTTTGAGATTTGACTTCGTGACTTCTGTTTCACTGACAGCATCACAGGTGAAACCAGATTAAGTGTGTGGGAAACACTTTTAGAGCGTTTCATTTTTAGCGGAATATTACTTTTACGAGCTGATTTCCTGAGCTGTTAACTCTCTGTTTCTCCACCCACCTCCCTTCCCAACTCTTTCTAAAGTTGGACTTGCACTAGAAATAATACATTTTACTTTTTACTTCCCAATGTATTAAATTATACTTTCATGTCAGAGTAGAACCTGAGCTTTCTCAATTCAGGTTGTACATTAGTAAATAAAGATTTAAATAAATGACTCCTATAATTCCAATTTTTGAAATAATTGGGGCAAGAGTGTGTTACAAAGAGAAGAATCCCAAAAGGCCAGGAAGCCTGTTCCTAGAAGTATTTGCCACACTCTAATTACAGGCTCTATGGTCTTGGGTCTGAGTCAAAGAGGGAGCACAGTGATTGCTGCCTTGCAAGTTTGTTGTGAAGATAAAAAGAGACAGTGTGTTCTTTATAAACTGAAAGTATTCTATATTATTGTTTTCTCCAATGAACATGTCCATGAATCCATCATGGGGAATTTGATGCTTAGGGCATTGATGAGGTGGCCTCTCTTTTTCAGTAACTTGAAGGCATATGGAAGCTACCCTTGAATGGCAATTCCTGAAGGCATCACCAGCTAAAGTCAAAGAACCCATACAAAGCCTCTGGCAAAAAATAAGTGGTAGCTTCTAGTCTTACTTTCAAAGACTTTAATCAAAGAATTTTAAGAAAAAATATTGACATTTTATTTTTTTCATTTACTTCCAATATCAGCCCTATGAAAAGATGAGATTAAAAGCAACACTGCATAATTTGTAAAAATAGAGTTTTTAAACAAAAGGAGTGGATTTTTGTTTTATTTTGCTTTTTATATTTGGTACTTTTCAGATGATACATTAGCCAACATTACACTTTTGGTCTTAGGTATCTGGTGAATCCTCTCGGTAGAGTAGTCTTAGACCTCCTAACCACATACCATACATAGAAATTTACATTAGGAAATATGATTTAATATTAGCTCCTTTAAGAGATTTAACCTGATACAAGACAACTTTGCCTTCTTAACAATTAATTTTAATAATTATATAAAATTATTTACATCTGTGAAAATGAGCAAACTATACCAGAATTTTGCTGTCAGTGTACTGCTAATCTATGTCCCTCCCTCCACCCCTAATATTGATACACCTACTGCACTGATCTATCGCAATGGTCTATAAGAGCTTGGTACATAGGAGGTAATCAATAAATACTTGTTGAATGAATGAATGAATCAGAGGAGTGCCCATCAGGTATTCCATACTTCCACTAAGCAGTGCTTTCCATCTCTAAATATAATGCACAACCTTAGTAAAGGTGCATGCTGATCAACTTGAACCTTCATAGAGACAGGGCCTTCAAGGACACAAATACTAAATCTCATGGCTTCAAAATTCACTTTTTGAAACAGTGTTTTTGTACTTTATAGCCTTCTAGGACTTGAGAACTAAAGTACAGTGACAAGTGGGGTTTTGATAATAGATATTTCTTTCATCTTTCTTATTAAATTTTCTTTGTAAGATCACTTTATGAATTTGGAAAATAAATACAAAATAGTGATCAATAACGTGGGTGATAATTAGTGACTGTAAGAGTGAACCTGGGGCTGGAAGTTTTTCAGGCTGTTGAACACTCCAGGCAGATAAGCCCAATATGGAAGCTCCTCTTGATTCTCCCTGACCTGCCTGCACCCCCACTCCACCCCACACACACCTTAGTTCTTGCATCTGGGAACAAATTCCGTCTCAGCCATTTAACTGTTCTTCCACTCTCGCAACATCTGGAGTGTTCTTAGACTTTGGTCTCAATGCAGTGTGATAACCCTTTACCACTTGCTTCCCCTGCAGCTCCCACCTCAGTGAAGGGCCCAAGGTCATCTCAAATCTGTAACACAGTAGCCTTTCCCTTGTGCTGGAAGACTAAGAGTATTTTTCAAAAGCAAGTTGTCATTTACTTTTCCACATGATGCTTGAGGTTCATTTTATGTGAATAACTACAGGTTCCTTCTAAGTTTTATTTCTTTACTTACTTCAAGCTTTGTAATGAGACTTTGTTCCTAAAGGAAAAAAGAAAGAGAGAGAAACAAATGGAAGAAGGAAGGAAGGAAAGAGGAAGGAAGGAAGGAAGTGAGGAGGGAAGGAAGGAAGGAAGGGACTTGGCGTCAGATATCTCTTGCCTGATTCCCAGGCCCTAGTTGTTAAAGAACAGGAGGAAAGTTGCTCTTGCTTTTAAAAGCTGATCTTCTCTGTACAGATTTGCCACAGCACTACATGCTATGTAAGTCTGTCCAAGGATTTTTTCGTTGTTGTTGTTTTAACCTTAGACCCACCTTGTAATGTGAAGTGAGGTTTTTCCAGTTGGAAGGCAGCAGCTACAGGTCGTGGCGGGGGGAGAGGTGGTCTGTTGCTCATGAGTGGCTCTGGTGAATTGATTTCCGGATTGTCTCCAGGAATGAACATATACAAGTCATCATACTCGTTCTCAGAACTCCCACTGCCAACCTCTGCTAGGCTGTGCTCGGCCTCCGCACGCGATGCATTCTCTTCTGTTTCCTGTACTGTTTCCTGCGCCTCAGCTCCTCCCACACTCTGCCTGCATGTCTGTCTGCTTTCATGACGAAATGCTACCTTCTGTATGGCTGTTTATAATGAAGAGTGTAAGATGTCATTTAAACACACCATCTGGAGGCATTTCTTATTTTGTCATATCATAGAGAAGCGGTAGTAAGGCTAATAAAACTTTTATGATCTGATACAGTGGAAAGCTGACAAATGCATAATTTTGGTGAATAGTAATTCTTGGGCTTTTAAAATATTTACCAAATGAGCAGTTAAAGCTCCATTATGTCTTGCTACCTCAGGATAAGACACACTCAGACATATAAGAATATTCTGATTCTCTAGAGTCATTGTTTGAGCAGAGTCATACGTATGACTGCACTACTGCATTTTTATTAGAAAACAGTATAATTGACATAATAAGTAAGTGATGGAAAAGGTAAAGACAAGAAAAAATAAAACTTTGCTTGTAAATAATGCAGTAAAAATAAATCTGTGATTCATATTTAGTTATTATTTTAATATATATTTATTACCAGATTATATCTTAATTCTTGAAAATATTAATTGAGGGCCCAGCCCTGTGGCTGAGTGGTTAAAGTTCCGTGTGCTCTGCTTCAGCAGCCTGGGTTCACAGGTTCAGATCCCAGCCACAGACCTACTCCACTCACCAGCCGTGCTACGGCAGTGTCCCACATACAAAGTAGAGGAAGACTGGCACAGATGTTAGCTCAGAGCTAATCTTCCTCAAGCAAAAATAAAGAGGAAGATTGGCAATGAGGTTAGCTCAGGGCAAATCTTCCTCAGCAAAAAAAAAAAAAAAAAAAGAAAGAAAATATTAGTTGAGAAAAGTATTAATATTTTTTGATGAGGAAGGTATCCAAGCCACCAATAGTAGGTAAATCTTTCTAAGGCCCAGTTCTCTCAGTTCTATAAAGTGTATTCTATCCTGAAACTCAACCAAATGATCCAGTCAAATTCCCTCTAATTTAAGAATCGTGATTCCATCATTTGTTTTGATATCATACACAATAAATGCTCTCTAACTACTCAGGAAGAAAACAGAAAAAAGTTTATAATGTGATAACATTAAATCTTTTTTTTGCTTAAATTTTCCTTATAAAAATTTTGCTCTAAATAAAGGATTCACAAAATTTTAAAACGAGCTTTGGAATCTCTACATTGGCGGGAACATGTGAATTATTGTCATTGTCAGTGAAATAGAAAAGCAAATAATTATTGTTTTAAAGTGTCGCTAAACTAAAATATGATAAAGAAGCCAAATAGCAGAGTACAGAGAAAAAGGAATATTTTTTAAAATGAAGAGTTACACTGTAGAAATTTTTCAACAATGGGAGAAGAATTAGTCACATGGAAAAATCATGGCCCATATTTCTATATGGCATACTATTTTTTATTCTTCTCTTCTTTCACCTGAGAAGGAAGAAAGATTCAGCTGCCAGTACTGGAACTGCAAACCCAGATTCTCTTGTTACGAGCCCAGGCAGAGCCAACGGCCTTTTGTTTTTCACAGATGTCTGCACACATCTCATTCCTCTTCTACCTCTAACACCAAACGCTGAGCCTGAAGTAGAGCAGTATCTAGAAATGTTGGTGGAGTCGTTGATGCAGTGACCGAAAGAAAATTATTGCTCAGGCTGGCAAAGGGCTTCACTATTCCTCTCTGGGCAAATCAATCATCAACTTAGAATTGCATTCATGCTATAGGCAATTACTTGTAGCCACCCTTATGTTTATGCAGTCAGTGTTATGTTTTATGTATACACTGTCTAAGCAACAGAGTCTCCTTGGTCCTCGTCAGATATGCCCAAACCTGGAATCCAGCCCTGCAGAGTCTGATGTAGTGGGTCAGTGGGTTTTAGCAAGCTTCATAGCAATGGTGACACCAGTGAAAATCTGCTGACTTAGGGTGTTCATGCTTCACCCCTTCTGCTGCGAAAGTGCCTGAGGCCTGAGTCCAGTCACTCAGGGTTTCATTCGTGAGACAGTTCCAGGCCCAAACTGTCTTTAGAAATGAGGCTGTTCTGTAGAATAACTGAAACAATGTTTTCTTAGTACAGGCATGATAATGATGATGAAATGATCATAACACATATATCTTTAAAACTTAGTGCATTCATTCATTACTTCAATATTTAGTATTATTTTGTGTTCTACAATAATGTTTGAAGCAGTTTACTGATTTTGCCCAAGGGTGCTAGCTAAGGCATTGTATTTAATTTGATTTGATTTGTAGGTCAGGCTATCATTTGAAAAACCAGTGGTCAATCATGTTTAAATGAGCTTCAACTGTGCACTCTTAAAAGTGCAAACGCCTCAGGCAAAAGCATGCTTGATGGGTGAGATGCCACTGTGGTTGTGAACAAGCAAGAGAGTGGTCAGAGATAGGAGCAAAAAAGGTTATCTAGGGCCTTGCAGGTGATGATAAGGATTATACCTATGATGGGACAGTGTTGGAGGATTTGGAGCAGAAGAGTGATTAGCTCCTTCAGGAAGCAGAGAGAATCAAGGGTGGCAAATGTGGAAGGTGCTGTTGCAGGTTCTTAGCAGCAGTACCATTGATACTGTGGACTGGATAACCCTGTGTTGTGAGGCATGTCCTGTGCATCATAGGACATTTAGCAGCATTTCTGGTTCTCTACCCACTAAATGCCAGTTGCAAATCTCCCTTCTCAAGTCATGACAATAAAAAAATTCTGTTCATTGACAAATATCTTCTGTTGGGGGCAGAAAGTAGCTCTCCATTGAGAACCACTGTGCTATTGCAATAATCCAGGGGAGAGCTAGTGACAGTGCGGCCTAGGAGAAACAACAATGAAGGGGTGAGGAATGGCTGAACGGTGGCTGTATTTTGAAGACAGGGTCCACATTATTATCTGCCAGATTGGATATGGGGTGGGAGAGAAAGTAAAAAAAACCAAGGGTGACTCCAAGGTTTTTGAACTGAATTGAACAAGGAAGGAGTCTTCACTTACTGAGATGGCGCAATCAGCAAGTAGAGCAGGTTTGAGAGTGGCAGGAATTAGGGTTTTCAGGTTTGGAAATGTTGGGTGGGAGACACCTATCAGACATGCTGGTGAAGATGTTGAGCAAGCTATTGTATACTAGTGAAATCTGGCATAATGGGTAGAGTATCGTACACGTAGGAAGATTCTAAATTAGTCTTCAGGCATTAGAATACAGAATTACGTCCTACTACAGCCAAGGAGGACCGCAGAGAGAGTCCTAGTCCAAACTTCTCATCTCCTAGCTGAGAAAACTAAGGTCTGCAAGAAACATGACTTTGTTTAAAAAAAACAAATTGAAAAAAATATAGCTGTCAAATGGTCCGAATATTTACATCAGCTTGACTTGCATATTCTCTCTGGGTAGAAAAACCTGTTGTTTGATTATTAAATATTGAACTTATTAGAAGTATTTAAACTAGCAAGATACTGTAGTAATAGCTCTACCATAGTATAAATTAAAAGTCATTCAGTTAATTAAATATGTTTCCATGCTCTCCACGCTTTCCCATGCTCTCTTCAGTCTTACTTTACCAGTTGCACATGCCTTAATAGAAATGTTACATATATACATACATACATAACATATAGGAGCACTTACTGGGAGAATATGTAGAAAATGAGGTAAAATCCTCTTCATAGTCACTTTCTTGTTCATTATTTCTGCCAACTTCTTGGATCTGAAAAAAAATAAATGTAATTTTCAATAATTCATTAATCTTAATAAATCTGTATTTTTACATATACCAAATAGAAAGTTAATACTTGTGGAAATAAGATAGTTTCAAGGTTTTTATTTAAATTCTTTGATTATATTACATATCTCAGCTACTATATTTGTGCCATCTATAATTGTTCAATGACACGTAGTATTAAAAGTACAACTACAGCAATAGAACATTTATAATAAATAATAAATTGATTTAAAAATGAAACTACTTTAAGACTCAAAGCAATAATCATGAAATTTAGGTGCAACAAAGAACTCCCAAATAAAAGTGAACACAACTCTTTCTCCTAAAAACCATGAGCTTTGCTTCTTTTTAACATTTTGGTATCTTTTACCAGTTCTAAGGCATTCTTAATTACCTCAAATATTATAATACAGTGGAAGACAGTGAAATTGTAAAGTGATTTATTTTCTTTTCTATCTTTAAAAAGAGAAAAAAAAAAGTAAGGGAATTTATGTTTGTCTTTCTGAAATCAGTTCTACTACATTTAGAAAGGAGAATTACTAAGAAAGGACAGAAACGTGCTATCTCTGGAACTGCTAGTCTTTGTTTATAATCTCTAAAAAAGACATGAGGTCTACAGTAGTGGAACACACTGGTGCTTGTAGAGAAAGCTAAGCAGTGCTAGTGATAGTTGTATTCGTGTAAAAGCATCTAGGACACAGATGGAGCTTGTGTGCATTAACACAGGTCACATTTGGTTACCACCAACTCCAAGTAATTATTCAAATGATTTATGTCTTTGTTCTTAATAAAATTTATTGAAATGATTAGGCCATTTGCTCTGCATCTGGAATGTCTCTCTAAAAATTAGAAGCATCCATATTAAAGCATTATTAAATTTATAACAGCCTTCTTATGCAAGGGTATTTGACCTGCAATATTGCCTTCATCAATTTGGTTTGTCAACCACTTTGGCCAATGGAAGCCCAATGGAATTTCTTCTTCTTCTTTGTTTTTTTAAACTAATGACATCCAGAGAAGCAGCACAGTCTGACTTCCAGTGGAATCTTGAAAAGAAAAATCTCTTTAGTATTTTTTTAGTGAGCCTGATGCAGAAGTTCATTTTCTATTTAATCATATTTTTCCCTTGGTGGACTCAATCAAATGTTGATATGAAAAATCATGTAACTTTACTAGGGAGATTGACACGTTGATTGATATTTGCATGCTTTGGTATTAAAAGCATTGTTTAATATAGCCATTCTTTGTTTGAATTAGCCTGACCTCTATATTTCAAAAGGTAGATCAAGAATACATAAAAAAAAATCCATAATATTCTTACAATCATATCAAGAAAGTTTTTACTAGTTGAATAATGGGAATGGTTTTCAAAGATTTCAGGAACTATGTGAAAACTTCCTATATACTATTCACAAGCCTAGACATTATGAGCTCAAACTCAGTGTAAATTAACAAAGAGACCATGGGCGAGTGTGTAGGTGCACATGTGTGTACTGAGGTTGAAACATAATGGAATCATTTTTATGTCATAACCTAAGCTATATGACATTTGTACAAACAAACATACCAGCCCAATAATGTCTCAAAGGAAGAAGCTTCCAAATTTAAAAAACAGCCAAGGTTGACTGATTTGAGCACTTTCATAAATGTTATGCAAAGTATTTGTATAATCAGAATATGCAGAGAGTAGTTTTCTCAGGAATAAAAAGATCTTTAGAAATATTTACACTAAAAAACAAATGTTTTTTACTTGAGTTCCTTACACTTACAATCATATTTATTTTGAAAAATATGTTAGATCTAGTGATATATCAATAACTGTTGAATGAAATCAGTGATAGCTTCAGAGACAAGTATGATGGCACTGTGTCTAAGCACCTTAACACTTGGCTGTGTGGTGCAGCGGAGAGAGCATGGATTTTTAAGTCTAAGAACAAATCGTAACTCTATTATCTATTCGCTGTGTGACATTGGGCAATATACTTTACTCTAAATCTCAATATTCTATCCTGCAACATGTGGATAGCAATATCTATGCCATCATTGTGCTGCGAGGGTTAAATTAGAATAATGTAAGTAGAACACATATCACACCTACCACATAGTAAGCACTCAATAAATGTAATCTCCATGTTAGACTTTCCCTCATCATACAAAACGTAGATCAACATTTAAGCAAGCATGGTGACGACACTGGTTTGTTGGAGGAATCACCAATAATGAACCAATGGTTATTTAACTGAATTCTCTCAGCTGTGTGCCTCTAGAAGTTCTGCTGTGACAGCAAAAGAACTGGAATATAAACTTTCTATGTGATCAAAGTGTGGCAGTATGATTTTTTTAATTAAAAACACCTCTATAATTTACAAGCTAATAGAGAGGATAAGAATAAGGGAAAAAGAGATATTTAATTCTTTAACAAGTTTCTTTTTCTGGGGTTGGAGTCTCACTTTATTCATTCATTTATCAAATATTTATGCAGGCCTACTATGTGCTAAATACTCTGTTAGCAACTAAGGAAAATAAGTAAAAAATGAAAAAAGAGATACAATTCCTACTCTCAAAAATATCACATTTTTACTGGGAGAGGAAGAAAAATAATAAAATGATTGGAATACAATATTTTATTTATTTCACTACAATAAACTTAGTCCTTACAGGTGAAATAGAGAATTAAGAAATTCAGGGCAAAGGTTTATTCATTTGCTTTTTTGGATGAGGAGTTTGGATTAAAAAATTATCTTGACACTTGCCTTGATTCCCACTTCTCTGAATGAAAACTCCAGCTTCAACAATAAAATGTATTAGCTGAACATGCTCAATGTAATGTTAAAGCCCATAGATAGTCCTTGCAGCACACAATATTTAATATAATTAAAATCGTTCATTATCAAAATAAACTAAAAAGAGGTATATAAAGCTGTACATGGCTTTGGCATCTAGTTTTGTACAAATTGATCATAACATTCTGATTCTGAGGCAGTGAATAAAAACAATCTTCACGTGGCAGTTGGTTTCTAAATCTTTTCATGAGATTCTGAAGATACTGTAATTAGCCCAACTCTTCCCCAACTTTCCAAAGTGTTGATTATAAATGATTTTGCCACCTTTAACATGGCAGTCCTTGGAATGAGAATAAAAAGATACATATATGTTTGAAGAGTAACAAATTGACCCTGTAATATTTTTTGTATATTACCCAAATGAATGCACTAGGCTGCAGAATCTGAGATAATATTTCAATTGAAATCATAAAGAATAATCTTTATTAAATGTTAAGAATAATGAACAATATTACACTACAGCCATGAATAACAGCAGACATAGAGTCTCAAAACAAGAGTCCCAGGGCACACTGTAGGAGTGTGATATCTTAGCTCTCATCACATCTTCTAAGAGAATCTGTTTCTCCTTAGGCCATAGAGGAAGATGGTCTAGAAGCAGATTCATAGAATTTCTAATGAAAGTTTCTTTTTACATGATAGAAATCTGAATCCTGAGTGTGAAGATTAAATAGGAACACTGCTCAAGATTGGGAGAGGAATGAACTAGAATAAAGTAGATGTGGAGCTGTTAAACTTGGATAGGAGGAGAAAAGTGAACATTTTCCTTGATATGGGCCAAAATTTAGTTAGAATAACCTGAGGAAATATGCTCTATTTTTTAGACAGAATCTTATGATAGAAAACTGGGTGATGACAAGACCCTTCGTCCAGGTGACAAAGGCTGGCAGTCTGATTCTACACAATGAGTGAGTCAATTTTCTAACTGTGACCAACAAGGAGAGTCTAGTGAAGTGGAAAGAACAAGTGCCAAGGGGACAAGCGATGTTTTCACCTGAAAGTTTATAGAAAGGGAGAAAGAAACAGCAGGAATATTGAAACCTGCTCTCTCAAACTTAGGAAAACAAATTTGAAAAATTTAGCTTTTGAAAGATTCTGGAGGGTTGGCCTCTGTAGCTGGCACATCTCTTGTTCTGACTTCAACTTGTTAGGTGTGCCCACCCAGCCCTTCTCTCATTCTCAGGCCACCCTTCAGCTAGCCTCCTGGGGTAACGACCCAGAAGCCCTGGTCTTGGGCTGACAGCTTTTGTCTTAATCTTTGCCCACAATGCAGCTCTAACTACAGTTGTGAGCTTCAGGGTTGGCCACCTGACCCTTTTAACCACACTCTAGACCTATTTTAAGTGTTTGTTTCAAACCCTGCATAGTTGTGGCTTCATCTATGAGGTATCAGTGACTTTACTGGACCACATGCTTGGTTTGACTTCAGCCATCTCTGTCACTAAAATGGGAAAGATAAAATTAAAATCCATCCCTTTATAAGGATTGTAGTTGCAAACATAAAAAAAAATAGTTATCTTCATTTAAACTATAGAATCCAAAGTCTGAAAGGGACCTGTGGATGACTAGTTTATTCTCTTGTTCATACATTGATATAATACTAAAACAATATCTCATGATAAAAATGTAATAATCTGGATATTTTTCCAAGCAAGAGTTGTTTTTAAATGTAGCCTATGGTCTGTCTATACTGTCCAATCCTCTTTACACTGGCTCTTCCTGGTCCATGCTGTCCCTCTTCTCTTCTCACGGGATGTGCTTCCGCTAGGTCATCGTATCCCTGCATTGTCTTTCTATCAATATCATGACGATTCCTGGAAATGTCATTTTCTCCAAACTATTCTGAGGTCTAGATTCTAGGATTTAGCAAAAGATACTGGAAGAAACAGTCATAGAGGAAAAGAAACCCTGGAGGGAGAGGTATCAGAAAAATCAGGAGAGAGGATGCTTTAGATAGAATGTTTGTGTCCACCCCAAAATTTATATGTTGAAATTATAACCCTCAAGGTGAGGGTATTAGGAGGTGGGGCCTTTGAGAGGTGATTAGGGCAGGAGGGCAGGGCCCTAATGAATGGGATTAGTGCCCTTATAAAAGAGACCCACAGAGATCCCTCACCTGTTCTGCTATATGAAGACATAGAG